TCTTTGTAATAAAGAAACGTGTATAAAATACAAGATTTTTTCTAAAATAAAACATAATAAAGAGGGCAGGAAAGAATTGATATCACGATTTGTCAGTAAGATGGATTGAGATCAGATAGTTCATAATGTGAGTTGTATGTAATATTTTCTTATATGAGCACAAATGGTTATTTAAAATAAAAGAGTATTATTAACAAATAGTTTAATTAGTACTTAATGAACAATGAAAATTTGTTATTTTACTAAAATTATGCCTATAATTATTTATAAACATATACGTTTAAGTTCACACATTGTAATGTATTTCTATATCTCTGGATAGGTATAAAAATACATTACAATATGTGTAATGTATTTAGCTGAGATAGCTTAGTTTGAATAGCGTATTGAGGATTTATAGAGAGTGAAACTGTAACATTAGTCCTCAAGGATAGCAACGCGTGAGAAGTATTCTGGGTTCATATCGTATGATTGCGTCAGGACTCAGGTCATAAAGAGAACATGAAATTAGTTCAGTTAGCACATCATGCCAAATCCACCAGAAACCAACCATGAGGGTTTCCAGAGGGGACCGCGTGAAGGTCAACCTGACTAACAACTTCCAATCGCACTATTACCTAACAATCCTTAGTTAGTAGTTCGCCATTTCAATCCCAAACAAATGTACTTAAATCTATATTCCGTGGTACAGTTCTAGCTTTGGTAATCTGTTCTTTGTGTGTGCTCTTTTAGTGTAATCTATCGTAAAGCCTCTACGAAATCTGTCTATCCACTTCATATATATCATCTGTCTCCGTCGCGCTTCAAATGAACAGAGCTCCGTGCCGTTTTTACGTGATGACAACATTCCCACACCATATAAATTGTATATATTCAACATTACGCCGTTTTGTCAAGTTCTCTTTTATTGTAGACAGCGACAGGTACGCGTAATATCTTTATGTGGTATATGTACTTTATACATTGCAATGTTAAAGTAGGTGATAAAGGAAAAGAAAAATTCGTTTAAATTTTATATTTTAAAAATTATGTTAAATTTTATACGTCTTGTACATATCTTTTGCACAGTACATTTTCCATTTACTAATCTACTGTATAATTAGTTAACAAACGTGAGTTATATATTTTACACATTAACAGAAACCAGATAAGGTTTGTATTTGAAACCGATATACGAGTATAGCTCGTCACTACTCATTCAACGGGAACAGGCTAGGTTGCTCATTTGTGTCAACTGGCTAATTAATCAATTCAATTCATTGAGCTGAATCCGATGGCTTAGTTAGATAGCTAATAAGTTAGATAAATTTATCTTAATCATATAATATTGTATCAAGACAAACTTGCTGTAAATCAAAGTGGCAGAAGACGAGTCTACAACCATCTCCCGGATGAATTTGGTAGGGTAGATATTTCCGGTCACTGGAAAATTAACTATGAATTTAAATTGACATTTAAAATTTGATGTTGAAGTTGGAAATACTCGAACTCATGAACTTTGACTATAAGTTGAAGTAGTTAAATACAAGCGCTCGTTTTTTCTTTTAAAGGATGCACGGACTGATTTTTTTACTTCTAAATTAATTTTGCCTTCACATTTGCATATGATCACCAAAGACAAAATATTTGCATATGAGACATTTATATAGTTAACGTTAGCTATATTATCAAGCATAAATGAGTGCAATCTTACTTCTTTTTAATGCAACATTGGTAACATAACTTTTGGTGTATAGGGTTTTGTTAATATGCAACGTAGTCGTTTTTATAAAAACATAATTTTAATGTATATTTTTTTCATGATGTGTACTTTTTATATGAACATGAACTTTATATTATCCTTCAACAATATTTCGTTAGTGGGAATATCTAACTATATCTTTATCTGTGCCTCTGTTCTTTGTACAATATTATATCTATGTACTCTATATTTGAACGGAACAATACAAGTGGTTATTCACACGAACTTTGTAGCGATAAAACCCTTTGACGTGCAGTGATTTACCGTCAGTGGCGCGAACGATATTCGGGTTCACTCGAATGATTCCCGATATGACAAATTACTTGGCCAGACGCCGCCGTGACAATGCAAGTCTTGGCCAAATTCGTATTATATATATACTCCTTTGTTATTAAGCACCATACTGGTAGATTGGGATCTTACATAAATTTATTCTTACAGAAAAAGCACAGTTATGCAGTAGAGAATGGAGTTGAGAAAACTCCATTCTATACATATAAAATTCTTGTGCCACAATGTTAGTTACCATACTCTTCCGAAACGGCTTACCCGATTTTTATGAAATTTTATATGCATATTCAGTAGGTCTGAGAGTCGGCTATTATTTTTAATATATAGCAGAGAAAATACATACAACTCCAAATATTGACTCTTCTACGATCAACTTCTATTTTTTAATAGTGCTTTTAATTTATATGGCAAAACAACATTTGCGGGATCAGCTAGTAACTTATATATAACTGTTTATCAATACTAAAATACCGGCTTCTAATCGATACCGGTACCGCACAGCGCTATTCAATCAGCGGGCGCCTGGTCGGTCAACTGACCAATTAATTAACGACCGACCGCGCACTTTTTACAGGATTACCCAATCGTTTGCTGTTTTGCGTTGCTTTTATATTGAACTTTTCAAGCCTTGGCATTTTTATACCTGTATATTAAACTTATACACTTCTTGTTTATTAAAACACAAACAATAAGTTAACTAAAAGAGCAGAACAGTTCAAAATTATGGGACAACTAGCCGATAGCCGCGAATTATTATTTATTTCATATAAAAGATATTTTGTATCTGTCCTCGGGATATGATCTCTAGCCAAATGGATCAGTCTAGCCATTTATAATTTTATTTTTAGCATATATAGAATATATATTATTAATTATTACTACAGCGAGACAGGAAAAAATGGAACAATTCAATCTTCTAGCTTTAAAAATGACGATACTTCAGTAAAATCTTTCAACTCCCCTTTCAATCCCTTACAACCCTTTTTTCGTATTAAAAAGTAGTTTATGTCCTTTCTCAGGGTATATAGACTATCTATATACCAAACTTCATTTAAATCGTTTCAGTAGTTTTGGCGTTCAGAGTTACTTTCGCATTTATAATATTAGTAAAGATGTATATTAATTAATTTAATGTAAAATATTATTTATACTTCTTTACTTCTGAATTGAACGGAGAGTTTAGCTAGTTTAATTATCGGGGCACTGAACTACAGAACATAGTCACGACATACATTATAAAATCGCAGACAATGACATAATTAATCGATTAAAAACTTGCGGAATAAATCAATTCTGTCTTTTTTTCCAAACACATCACAATGGCGTGAATTTATTGCTAATAGCAGATTTGTTGAAGTATTCAATTACCGGTTTCTATAAAATGATGTCGGTCACGTAATACTAGCTAGTACTTACTACTTTATGTGCGCTTGTTTGTATGTTAGTTGATCTTATATTATTTTTTTAGTTCATTTCTATTAATTAATCTACTTCTATTGTATTTGGTTGTAATTGTAGTTAAATATAACCAGATCCATTAAAGGCCCGTGATGTTATAAATTTTTAAAAACTGTATTGGTTAGAAATGTCGTTTCTCAGTGCTCTACTATTTACGTATAGAATTATATAATATATGTGTAATATGTATATTGTAGATTGATATATTATACAAAAACTAGCGGTTTAGTACACCGTTTTGTTTCTGATGGTCGCGGGTACGGTTCTTCACATGATGTAAACATTTGTATTTAACAGTATGATTGCTGGTTTCGAGTATATTTATGTATAATATGTGTATGTTTACAAAAAAAAAACTGTCAGTTTTCTAGTATCTATACATTTTAGGGAAATTAGTAAATTGTGAATTGTACTCAATTATAAGTTATGGACAGTAGAAATAGGTAAGACGCTAAAAACATTCTTCTCGTATATGATCTACATTGTATACATATTTGATTTAAGTGATTTAAATATTTTTCAGGTGAATAAATTTAAATAATGTTATTCACCATCACCATTCAATAGCAATGAGATCTTATTAACAATAATATACTGATACATGTAAGTCAATAATATATAGCGAAGTCAGCCAGAAGTATAGTGTTTCTCGTATATTTATTAATGATGTGTAATTTTCTTCATTACAGGTACAACAACGACGCAAGCGGGCAATAATTGAGAAAATAACAGTTCTCGTCTCGTCGAGGATATACAGGCACATTCGATTACAACTCGCGTGTCAGAGACGTCATCTTGTAAAGGTCACGCGGCAGCGGCAGTTAAAATGACACTTAATTTCAAAAGAAAGAAATAAAAATGTAGTAAAACGAAATGTAAAATATTCTTCATTTTCTTTAAAAAAATGTTTGCGAAACAAAACCGTTTTTGGGATAGGAGAAAGGGTAAAATTACACGATGACGCCGCGTTACCGGTTTAACGATTGTATAAAATAATCGACACTAATTATTATTTTAGTAAACGCTTCACTAGTACATTAGGACCGCTTTTTTGTGTGTTACCGTTCGTGACGCGTTTGTGCGATTAAGGTATTTTTATTTTGCGTATTATATAATTTTTCGGTATAATTTTTGGTATCATATTCGGTAATAATTGTTGTATTTTTTGTCGCTGTCCAGAAGCAATATTAGGTAAGAGGCCTTTGTATACTGCACGCGTATTTTGATTAATTTGTATATTGTAAATAATAAATACTTAAATTATTAAATATTTATCCCACTAATTAGAATTGACTTAGGTACATAATAAATAAATCTGTATATAAATATTGCGACTTTTATCGATTATTCAATGCTTTGATATAGTCTTCGCATAATATAGTTCGGGAAAACGGGTATTAAATTTAATTCTGTAAAAATTATCCATTGTAAAAAATAGTTTAAATATTTGAATATATAATATTCCGTTCCTATAGGCAATACTTTTTTAATAATTTGAACCGTGCAATGTTTTTAATCTAAATAAAAATTTTCGTATTATACTACGGGGCCAAATAAGTCTACTTTCGAATCTCAAATTTTATAAACAGCAAACAACAAATCGCGTAGTTAGTTCAATTCGACAATCTGGCGTCAAAACCCGGTACTGCCGTTTACAGCCGCAATTCTATCGATACCAAGATGGTACCAAACGCTACAACCCTTTTGGCTGCGAAGACCACTATGAGCACGCACTTTAACGGAACACTGGGGCTAAATTCCACGTTTCTAGTCCCAACGTACATGAGTCAGGAGGAGTTTCTCGCGTTGCAGATGACAAACACATCAGACGCAAACACTACAGCGTCGAACGATACCATAATCAACCAAGTGATACTAAAAACCTGGTACCCAAGTGGGTATTCGCCTGCGCACATCATTATCGCATCAGTGGTTGTGACAGTGTTAATGATAATGGTGGTAGTAGGTAATATGTTAGTTATAATAGCAATAGTGACAGAAAAAGCATTAAAAAATATACAGAATTGGTTTATAGCGTCCCTAGCAGTGTCAGACTTTTTCTTAGGGTTAGTAATAATGCCATTTTCACTCGCGAATGAATTAATGGGCTATTGGATTTTCGGGTTTTGGTGGTGTGAGATACATTCAGCCATGGATGTGTTGTTGTGTACTGCCTCGATTATGAATTTGTGTCTTATATCGTTGGATCGATACTGGAGTATTACGCAGGTATGTGATTTATTTTATTTATTATTAATAATTAATTTCATGTACATTTATGCCTGGAAACTTTATTCAATACTAACATACATTTACTACTTATATATTTGAAACATTTACGAAAACAGTCATTTTCTTATATTGTTTCCAGTGTAAAATTTACATTAGTCAATTTCGTGAATGTGCAAGAAGTTATTAAAAGAAATCTGTTGATTGTCTTTTCGTATCTATGTATTATTATATAATTATATTTGCATTATTCAATATGAGAAAATTCATCGAAACACTTACTACTTATTGTTGAAATCAATTTAGGTAATAATTTAGTAAGATTTCGAATTACCGAATATGTATAAGTATATGAGAACAAGGAAAAGATAAAAATAATAATAGAACTATTACGAATTAGAGTTGAAAAGGAAAATAATAACAATTAAATTATACCTTTGGGATATTACAACTAAATATATATAGGTGCATACGTCATATAGGTACATCAGTAATAATAACAACACAAATATAAAGATTACATAATATATATTATGTATAGGCAAATCATCAGAAAATAATTAAATTAAATGAATTTATTAGTGTAACGGAGGAGTTTCTGTATTCTTCGTTGTTAATATAAGGATAAGTAATATAGATTATATATTACATGATATAATTCTTTATTTATAATTTACCTAGATTATTAAATCAAAATTATTGTTTGTCTTATTCTCGTATTTCCATCACATACTTCGTTCATAGACAAATTTGCTCCATTATAGGTAGGAATTTTTCTATGACGAGGTGTCGCAAATAGAATGAACCTACTTCTACATTAACAAGTGGGGCCATACACACGTATTTTCTGATTCTGTAAAGTCTTACACTACTAAAATTCTAGAATAAAGAATTTTTGGCATATGTTTTCATAACGACTAACTATAATAACATTATTCTAAACAGTGAAGAATTAATACGATACAGATCATATGTTTATTACAGCAGTGCATATATGTGTCTATCTATAAATGTTATATATAATATGATGGGACGAGATCTATAGTAATATCATTATAATTATTCAATTTATCAATTATTCGCCTCAGTTCGTTATTCATTGTCGTAAGTATAAAAAAGATACATTTTAAGGCGTGACAGTATTAATAATAAATTGCAATATTATTGAAAATCATGACAAAAATTACAAAAGAACTAGTAACCAATTTCCGTATCGGAAACTATTAGTCGAAATCGTATAATACTGTCTATTGGAAAATTAATTCCGAATTGGATTGTCCACTGATTTCGATGAATATTGAATATCCGATTTGCCATTTTGAATAGTCTAAACCGTATGTACCGATTCTCGCCGGTTCGGGCCGGCTCAAATCATCTCATGCCGGTTCGTTGGAGCTATTCCGATTCGGTTGTAAGCCAAAACCAAGTTACGTACTGTTATGCCCTGGTCTAGTATGCAGTAAATGCCGAGTTAATTATTTCCACAATTTGTGTAAACCTTAGTAGCTTTACTGTAGTCAGTTAGCATTTCTCGAGTTCGTCCACAATAGTAGTAGATACTTATAGAATATCGCTAGTAACTGGGATAAAGTTAATATTATCAATTAGTGTTGACGTAATAGTGCAGTTAAAAAAACCGGTACATTTACTTTTTATTTTAACGGTTATTTTTATTTTTCAGTTTATATTTACAGTAAAATATTTGGTATATAAGGTAAATATGATTCGGTTGTAGTCGTGACTACAACCGAATATTACCAAAATTTATTTATGAAAATATATAAATATCGAAGACAATCTTAAAATTATTAGAATAGTTCACTAAGTTATTACACCTACACCTAAAGCTGGCGCAATCTTTACTATCTAAGCGTACATCTACATTTCGCTGCTAATATGTTGTATTGCTTTTATTCTATTGATTGTAGCAAAGATTTCTATCGTCTGATATTTTAGCTTACTTTATAATACATACGAATCGAAAGAATTGCTTTTATCTCTATTATAGTTCAAAGCAGAGGGGAATATATTTTATTGGTTATAATGCTGCCAAGGCACACAGGATAGAAACTAGACTGCACCTTATCATAGTTATTGTTATTAGGGTCCCGGATGTTTCTCTACATTTCTGTGGTACATTGTTCTGCGGTATTTCTTTATTCTTGTCTTATTTTTGAATAGTTCAACATTAATCGTTTAATAATATAAATTAATATGTATACTGAATTGTAACTCTTAACTTGCTAAAGCAAATCAAATACATTTTTACAGAAGAGCGGTTGAACCTTACGTATAAATTATTACGCAACAATTTATTGTAATACATTAAATTTGTCTTACTAATATTTCATAAAATGTTTACAAGTGAAAGATTTTATAAAAAATCTCAATAAATTGTGCAAAATATAAGAAGTCACCTTGAAATATCGAAATCCCTAAACAACCCTATCTTCAAAGCATCGCACTACATTATTAGTGAACTTTGAAAGAGTTTTACATTTTCGGTAAATTAAGTGGAGTATGTTTTAAAAAGGAACGCTCAGCTGCCCAGCGGCGTGGAATGAATCGTAATAGGACAGGCCTGGAGGCATTCCCTAGTCGATGTTAGCCGGGGAAAAGTACCACATTCCTTGTAATGGAGGTTAATTTTTAAGCGAGTTCAGAAAACCATGTTTTGTTGAGCGTCGAAAGTATGATATCGAAAAAAGTACAAGATAAAGGCAACGTAGGCGCTACACGTCTGAAATATGTATTTGTATAAAGTATTTGATAATAAGTTAATTAATATAAAAAATAAAGTCCGGGTTACAGTTAAGACTCTAATAATGTGGTTTGCTACAGGAGATCTTTTCTAAAATCAATAAAGTGTTTTATTTTGGTTATATATTTTAAATAAAACGAATATATATTTCGTACTAACTATCGCCGCGACTTTGTCCGCGTGTTATAGCTACTTTCAATAAATAAAGAAAAAATATTCAATAATCTAACAGTTCTAGCGTCAAAAATTACGATTTTCAATACAAACTTTCATCCCCTTATTTTATTTTACCCTTAAGGATAGCATTTTTACTAACTTTGAATGTCACATTTATTTACATATATATATATATATATAAATATCCCCTTGGGCACTTTGTGGCTCAGACGTGCCGTATAGGTAGTTTTTTGTTGATCCATTTTCACTTGTTGATCCGGAGGCCTTTTGTTGATCTAATGCCAGCTGACCATATATAAATGTTGATCCGTTTTGAGCCACAACTGTCACGACGAGTAATAATAATAATTAAGCGATTTATACACGATTTTATACAAATCCACCTTTTTGGCATACGACCACTTCTTGATCCAATTCAAACGGGCCAATCAGGGTGCAGCATTTCCAAGGGCTTCCTCATTGGCACGTTTGGGCTACTACATTATGGCTACAGTAACTTAATAATGTCTAGCTAGTATTTCAAGAATAATAGTCTATCTAATCTAAATATTTATTGAAATCAGTCTGGAGTAACGTGACTCCAGATCAAAACTCAATACTTGTTATTTTTTGGACGGGAATTTTTCCTTTTGTAACAACGTTACTGAGCGAATGAAGAGAAGACGTAACGGCGGATCCAGGGGGGAGCGTCATGGAGGTCTTGGGAGTCATGGGGGGTCATGACTCTCTCCCCCTTAGCCCAGGACTTAGGTAGACCACTAATTGAACTAAAAAATAATGAAACAGCAAATTTTTTTGCACGATCGGAGTGTTGGTGCAGTAGTATTAATTATAATTAAACATTGTTACTTAAAACATAACAGTTAAAGTACTATAACACTAAAAGCAAAATAGGTATTTTCAAAATACTTTTTCAAAATAAATTACCCTTTGAGTTTTTGTTCAAACCTCAGATATTATATTTATTTTAGGTATATCAATCAATACATAGTATAGCATAGTACAGTCTGTCTGTCTGTCTGTTTGTTCCGGCTAATCTCTGAAATAGCTGGACCGATTTTGACGGGACTTTTTTTGGCAAGTAGCTGATGTAATAAGGAGTAACTTACGCTACTGTTATTTTAGAAAAATAAAATAAAATTTCACGCGGACGAAGTCGCTGGGGCCAGCTAGTCTATAGATATACCGAGATTTAATGTTTAAGTTGCTATTATGTTATTGACAAAATTTTACTGTAATGTTACTATTACGTTATCCTACACAATTTGTATTATTTTGGATGAATAAATAAATAAATAAATAAATAATAATCTATACATCTATACATTTAATAAAAATTGGAGTGTCTGTTTGTAATATTGAAAAAACCGTTTTTTACTACATGCATATGAATATATATAAGGTACATATACCAAAATAACTATTTTTATAATTTTAGTCTGTCTGTCTGTCTGTCTGTTTGTTCCGGCTAATCTCTGAAATGGCTGGACCGATTTTGACGGTACTTTTTTTGGCAGGTAGCTGATTTATAAGGAGTAACTTAGGTTACTTTTATTTTAGAAAAATAAAGTTAAATTCCACGCGGACGAAGTCGCGGAAACCGCTTGTTTTTAATAAAAACGGTTTATTTGATAGAAAAAACATCTTTTTTGTGGTACTTGAGAATGTTGAAGCCTGTTGTTTGTAATATTGAAATAACCGTTTTTTACTACTTGCATATGAATATAAATACGGTACATACACCAAAATAACATATTTTACAATTTTTGTCTGTCTGTCTGTTTGTTCCGGCTAATCTCTGAAATGGCTGGACCGATTTTGACGGGACTTTTTTTGGCAGGTAGCTGATGTAATAAGGAGTAACTTACGCTACTTTTATTTTAGAAAAATAAAGTTAAAAACCACGTGGACGAAGTCGCGGGAACAGCTAGTGTATAATATATTAGAGATACCTACGTGTTTTTTTATTGATGACTAGCTGTACACGGGATTTCGTCCGTGTTGAATTTAACTTTATTTTTCTAAAATATAAGAAGTTAAATTCCACGCGGACGAAGTCGCG